TCTTCACTGCAGCATCCTTGGAATCAGATGAAATTGTTTAATATTTACAATCTACTTAAATGTATCTTAAGCTTACACTGGTTGGCAGGACTCGGCAGCACATTTGGCATCGGCACTCTTGCTCATTCATCACTTCATTTTTCAACCCTTTAGTTAAATGGCCTGCCGATCTATTTGCAAACCTTGCTGAATTTTAAACGTGGGCACGTATATCTGGAATATTTTTACTCTTTATGGGCTATAAATCAGCTAAAGCTGAAATTTGTATTCATTTTTCATTAGGATGACTTTAACACTTAAAACACGTTTAAGCGCCTGTGTAAAGCTGACCTCATCCTCTTCCAAGTTACTTTGTATTGCCGTCCCGAGCAGTAAATATTAAGAAGCAATTCAATTTTTGCAGGCATTATTTAATGTTTCTGAGGATATCACTTGCTAAGCCACTGAATACGACCCTTTTATACGCAAAATTCGCTACTTCCTATCAATTTATTCAATAATCATTACAACATTATTAATGTTTTAAGTTACTTTTTTTAATCTAATCTTACTTTTATCTTTTTTTGTGTGTTCCTGGCTTTCTCTTTCTTTATTGTTATCAGACTCACATATGATCATGAGTCCTCGAATAGCTTCATCCAGATACGTAGAGGTGGTGCAATCCGAAAATTCGGTTCGAAAACTCACCGATATTTCGGATGGAGCTAGGGCAACAGAAGCCGGCGATACAGCAGATATGGATGTTACTAATAGTAACCTTACTCATAATGCTTTACACGTTCCCAGTAGTCTGCATTCCTGGTCTACTCAAAACGTTCAGGAGCTCGGGTCTTATGCTGGTCCATCAGGCTTCAATCATCTTCGGCTTCGAGGTAGACGAGGTGACTCATCGATGGTGAAAGATAATAACAATAATATCCAGGGTTACCGCAAAAAACGTCATGGGCACCTTTCTGGCCGATACACAGACTTCTCTACGGCTGCGCCTGTCTCTGTGACTATGGCAGAGAGAAGTGATACAAACGGGATTCAATATCATACACAATCCAGCCAAATGGCGATGCCCCAAGTCTCCCATGTGGGAGCGGAGCTTAGCTTAAAATTAGATCAATTTCCTTGTTGTTGTGACATATGCCATATAACCGCAAATTACGCAGATGAAAAGTCTGCTACCATCTAGTATTGAAATATTCAAACTTCACACTTAAAGCCAAGGCTAATAAGTGTATTGATACGCAGTATTCTATTCTATGCAGGACAATCTTTTCCATCAATTCTACAGTACTTTCCCTGTGACTTGACAAAATTTCGAGATAATTTTTAATGTCCTAGAATACGGTGAAAAATTTATTATTATTTTCTATCACTTAGCATCATTTACAGCCCTTGCCTTTTTCATATATCTTGCATGATATCTCTTCAATTCTCGTTTCCTGAACTTGTATTTCTAGAAGGAACAATATCAACCTAATTGATTGATATTTTTACTTTTTTTATCGACCAATCACTTTGGTATTTCCATGAGC